GGTACTGTTCAATGTTTGGAAGATATGGTGAATAATGAAAATCAGAATGGGTCTTCATTTAACTTCTGTTTCATAGAATTGGAATAATATGGGTTATGTACCCACGTACGAGTTCAATTAAATTTAATAATTTTTATATTAATTATATTTTAAAAAATTATTATATATATATATATAAAAAAATTTAAAAATTTTATATTATTATTTAAAATTATTATTTTAAATTTTAAAATTTATAAAATTTAAATTCTGATTCGATATTTCCGATCACCAATTGAAGATGGTTAGGTTAATTTAGTTGATTTTGGAATGGGGTAGTTGGACAGCATCTTCACCACATTATATATCTCTGTATAATTTTTTTTATTTTTTAAAAAAAATGATATACTGTCGGTGCTCTTGGCCCGATTCCCAAAAAACACTTATTTATTTATCATTATATAAATTGTTTTTTTTTAGGACTTCTAATCCCTCATTAATAAATTGCAGTTTTTAATATTTTTATATATGCTTCAACACACTTAACTGATCATTAATACGTTAAAACGTACGATTTTATTTTCTTTGTATAAAAATATATGATTTTCACCTTTCATATCAGTTTACGTAATTAATATAGTTGAAATGTAAAAATCAAATAAAAAAATTTAATTTTATTATATGAGTTTTGTCTCCTTTAGCGTTATGTACAAAATAACATTAGCAAATTTTTATCTTACGGATCTCCTTTAATATAAAAAAAACTAGCTATAACATTTAAGAATTTATATAAAACCAACATTTTTTTAAGAAAAAATATTTTTTATTATATCTTTAATATATTAACATTGAACTAATGTCTTTAAAAAATATAGTGAGTAAATACATTTAAAGTTCAATCAATTAACAAGGATAAAATGATAAGTTTACTATATTTATTATTTTCTGGATAAATATGACAAGTAAAAAGGTACAGAGGGAATATATTTTTCATGAAAATATCTTTTTTATTTAAATAGCCAAATAATATTTTCAATGTTGCCCATTCATTTAGCAGGAATGATATTGGGTCTCTCCAAGGCCCAATTAGACAGTTAAGTGGGCTGCTGATTGGTAGGTTGAGTATTTTGGCTATTGGGCTTACATAGGCCCATCAAGGCCACTACTGGGCTGCTGCTATATCTACGAATCTTAAACGGATCTATGCATACTATAATCCTTCGCATATCTCATTTGTGAAATTTCACTAAATATGTCATTATTGTTGTTACACTAATTTTCAATTTGATCATTGAAGAAGTGGTAAAGTAAACTTCAGTTCAGTACGATATTCAGTAATACCTTATTGAAGTTATGGTCAATTGTAACAAAATTAATATTATTTCTCCAATTATTTCTATTTTTATACGAACGCACGATATAATGGAAGATCAACAAGTAAGAATACATCAAGAAAGGCAAAACGTTACATCATAGAGACATGTATTTGGATTATTCATGCTAATTCTTTAACTTTCTCTTTGGACTTGTACTAATAAGTAATAGATATGTTAATATATGATCTCCATTAAATAAATAATTTGATATTCTGGAAATACCAAATACCAAATGATACTAATGTCTCATACAAATCCAATTCCAAATATCATAATTTTAAAATCTTACCAAATACTAGATTACTAAACACCAAATAACCAAAAATTTCAATTCAATTCGATAATTCAATTTTCGATATCCCTAATCCCACCTAATTTTTAGGTTCAACAAGCCTAATTGGGCCAAACAGAGGCAGTAAAGAGCAAAATGCAAATGATTTTAGAATTGAAAGTAGCCCATAATATGTGCAACAAACCAAATATAGAAAATGTGGGACCGACATATTCTCACACCTGCCTTTGCTTTTTAAACATTTCAACTATTCCACGCAACGCTAAGGAAACGCATAAATTCCAAATATTCAATTCTATTCGTTTCAATTTGCTATTCTTACTTTATAATTTAAATAATTAAAAAAATATATTTTTTATTATAAAATTTTCAACTACTTTAACGATTAATTTGAAAAACAGTGATAAAAGAACCTCGCTAAAAACAAGCAGGTATATAATTTGACGATTTAAAGGATTTCTCTCTACCATATGTTTACTCTTTTTATATACGTAGTTTTATGTGTCTAAGTTAAAAGTTACTCCCTCCGTCCATAATTGTTTGTCATATTAAGGTCATGCACACTTCTCAAGGAAAATTTAATACAACGTGTAATTTGACTAATATAACCCTATCAAGAATATCAAAAGTTTACCTTAACTTTCCAATTGGACTACATTTTCATTAAGGGCATATTTGAAAAAAAAAGACTAATTATTTTTTAATTATTTAAATTGACAATTAATCTTGAACATCTATTTCTATTATATCTGTCAAACAATTATGAACGAAGACAATATGTTTAAAACATTAATTAGTTTGATCTTCGTTAATCCGAAGGTGTGGGCCATAGTTGTTAAAGTGGATACATCTATTTTAGGTTCAAATTGCACTAATTTAAGGCCCCATACGTTTTCCACGCGACTGCACAACTAATTCAACTCGTACTCTCTTTTTGGTTTTATTAATTATTGCCAAAATTCTTAAAATCTTTTTTCAAAAATTCTTTTACGCTTTTCTGCAATATTTTCCTCACACGTTAGAGAAAAAGTAGTAATCTTTTTCTTTTTTTTTTTCTATTAAAAAGTATTACTAATAACAATTCAATAATAAGATTTGCTTTAATTGTTACAATTAATTAACTTTTCCTCTCTCCTTCAATCTTACTCGTTAACAAAAATACTTAAGAAGAAAATGAAGGCAAGTGTCTTTATAATAATCAATTATTCAGAAAATGATTAAAATTAAAATATATTTAACTTTCGTTTTCCTTTTTGTCCCTCATAAAAAAATACAGGAATCGTTTGGTTAGATATATAAAAATAGAATTACTAAAGAAAGTGAATTAATAATATTGATATTAACTTTGTTGAGATTATATTTTGTTGGTCCACTATTTGAATAACAATTCTGGCTTTGATCATGTTTATTCACGTATCAATAACGCTGATATTGCTAATACAATAAATTATACATTATGTAATATTAAGTAAGATATATTAATTGAAATAACATCAGATAAAATATTAAATTATTTTAAAACTTAACATATTCTATTAAACAGCCAGTAAATTTACGAGCATTATTTTAAAAAAAATAAAATAAGATTGTTAGTATAGTTGACCTGCTACATGTAACGTGAAATTGTAATCAATAGTTGCAACTCAAATGTCATATAATTATTACATTTTTATTTATAAAATAAAAATATATTGAAAAATCAAATTGTCAGAAACTTGCAAGACTTTGAGAAATTAATTAATTTTTTTTTTCTTCTGAAAATTGAACCATTAAATTAAGAAGAAGAAAAAAAGGGAGTATTAGCGAGATTTAAGCTCTGGATCAGTTAACTGTGGGCACATGGTATGATATTAAATTCTCCAGTTAGCCAATTTTGATTTTTGACTTTCAAAGTATTATATTATTATTATGTTAAATTAATTCAGTATGTGTAAGCATAGTTTTAATATATAGATTTTGACTTATATATTATTCATATAATTAAAAGAATTACGATTTCGATTTTCGAAGAAGTCTTAAATTACTTAAAATAAAGCCCAAACGATTTATTTTGTTAATCAATAATACAAAAAAAAATATTTCAATTGGGATATTATAATAAAAAAATCATTATCTAAGTAATTAATTTCTATAATAATATTTTGTTAGTATTATAATAACTAGATAAATTATTCGTGTTAATATTTGTTTATAATACAATAATATATATAATAAAATTACATGCTTCGATATGATTGATATTTCTTTTACGAACGATATCGATATGAGTCATTCCAATAATGATTATTCGCTATTGACTTGATACATGAATTAAGAAATTGTAAGTGGTAAGGGTAATTTGAAATTAACTTTATTAAACATAAGCAATCTAAATATTTCAAAATAAACAATATTTCTTTCATTCCATATTAATTAAAAATTTTAAGTTTTTTTCATCGTTCAAAGTTCAATATAAATGTCTGTTTTTTTTTATTTGTCTTTTTCTTTAATAAAATTAGATACTTCATTCATTCCATTTTATATGTCATGTCTTTACTTTGCACTTACATTAAGAAATGATGTGATTTTACCCTTTTATTCTTATTTAATATTTTTTAATGTTAACTTTATAATAAATGATGATTACATTTTCTAGATTAATCAACTAATCTATCAAGGATATAATAGGGCAAAAACTAATAATTTATGCATAAATTTCATTAAGTGACAAATATTATGGTCCATTTATATATTAAAAAAAATGACATATATAATGAGACAAATAAAATATTTTCTATGACATATATTGCATTACTGACAATGTTATATTTATGATTTCATAAAAAGCAATAGTAGGAAGTAAGACTTAAATTATGTCCATCAATGTTTTTTTTTATAAGTGTATATTGTCTTATAACTTCAGTTAATATGAATAAAGAGAACATTTAGTAGCAATGATAAAATAGACGCGATATGATAAATTATATATTGATTTTATAAATCAAATAAATACTTTTTTTATTTTTAATTATTTATCCATTTTTAAATTCACACATTTATTAAGAAAATAATGATTAATTAAATGAATTTATCATTTTACTTCTATTAATTATTAAATAGATGGTTCAAAGTAATTAATAAAGATATAAAAAACAAAAAAATATTATTCTTTCTTAGTTTATAGAAATAAATAAATAAGTAAAAATAATTTTTAAAAAAAACAAATAATTACGAACGAACAATTTTCAGACACTACTGTCTTAAATGTCGAGATTTATAAATTAGAATAAGTATACCGCGTATCAGTTAAAAAGCAATAAAAACAATACAAATAATTAATGATCATAATTAGTGCTTGATTAAACACTCGCTAATCAAAAGCGTGTGGTGAATAACACCTATAATTTGATCATTAGTTATAAGGTACTTGTCTCTTCTAAATTCTCCATTCTTGTTCCTTTTTTTTTCACCTTCACCAAATTCACCATTAATTTATTCTCCATTTTTTCTCTATATATAACACACATACAAAGAAAACCCTAATCCTTAATTTTTTTCTTCTTCCAAAAGTTTCTATTATGGCGGATAGAGTATACCCAGCTGCTAAACCAGCTGTTCCTAATGGCACTGCTGCTCCGGCTCCCGCTCCTGCCGCCGCCGCCGCCGCCAACGGCGGAGCTAATCAGACGTTTCCGGCGAACAAAGCTCAACTTTACAACGCTGCTAGACCTACTTACCGTCCTATGCCGCCTCCCCGCCGTAAACACCGACGGAGCTGCTGTTGTTGTTGTTGCCTGTTTATTACCTTATTCATAATCACTATTGTTCTACTTGCTGCAATTGCCGGTGCGATTTTCTGGGTACTTTACCGTCCTCAGAGGCCTTCCTTCTCTGTTTCTACTCTTCAAGTCTCTCAATTAAATCTTACTTCTACGAAACTCGCGTCGAAATTCAGTCTCACCGTTGTTGCTCGTAATCCAAACAAAAAGATCTCTTTCTTCTACGATCCTATTAACATTTCGTTCAATTCCGCCGATGTTGATATCGGAGACGGATCGTTACCGGCTTTTACGCATAATAGGAAAAACACAACGACGTTGAAGACAGTAGTGTCAAGTTCAGGAAAAAACCTGGACGATTCTGCGATTTCTAATCTGAAATCTAAATTGAAGAATAAGAAGAGTCTGCCATTGGAGATAAAGCTTGATACAAAAGTTAAAGTCAAAGTTGGAAGCTTGAAAACGAAGAAAGTCGGAATTCGAGTTAAATGCAGTGGTATTAAAATTACTGTTCCTTCCGGCAAAACTCCGACTAAAGCTACTACTTCAAATGTGAAATGCAAAGTGGATCTTCGAATCAAGATCTGGAAATGGACTTTCTGATTAACACTTTGATTTGATTTTTCTTTACCCTGTTTCTTTGCTTGTTGATTTCTTTGTTTTTTTGGTAAATGGATGTTTGTAGGATATTGGTTTTTGATATATATACATAATCAAATTTGTTCAGTTAGGATTGGAAGTAGCAGCATATATATTCATTCTTAATATACATTAATATTTGTATTTTGTTATTTGATCATATATTGAATTTACATTTCAATTTCTGCTATCATCAGACATATCGTTATCGTAATTTAATATTATCGGAATGAGAAATTTGCTGGCAATGGAAGTTGATGAAAGCTGTCAAGGTAATTATATTAATGTGTATGATTAAACAGGATGCATTGACTTAATTAAACACATTATTGCAGTAGAGGGCAAGTGCCTGCACACCAGAAAACAGCTGTGACAGGGGCAGTAGGACTATTAGCTTCAAAACAAACTTATAAATTTCAAATTCTGAATCCGTAAGGACGACAAAATTGATTAAAGGGGCCATAATGAAGATTAGTTTATTGTAGTGAAATAGGGTGAAGAAATTTTGTCGGTGAAAAAATTGTAGTAGTTGGAATAGTAGGACGTTTCCCCTAAAATTCAGAGATTTGTCATTAGTTGCCTTTCTTTCTCATACATTTATTTAATGTTATTTGTTTGTAACTTGAGGGTGTCTGGTTTGCAGAAAATTTGGAGCATAAATAAACTAATGAATAAGTATGTCAACGCATGAGATTTGGTGCCAAGTTACAAAGCAAAAAGCACCTTAAAGGTGGCAAAGTAGTGTAGTAAATGTTGAATGTACAACTTCTTGTTGATATTGAATCTCGTTGGCATATTTATATTTAATTTTCTTAGTGAAAATTCTGACTATGTGGCTACGGCAAAGGCAACGAGTATGAAGTATATGATTGACATATTCTAAACATGGGAGGCTTTTTGTGCCTTAGGTGTTCAAATTAAAATAAAGAGTCATTCTCAATCTGACACGTGTAAGTGGCAACACAACACATTTGATAAGGCATAATTTGAGGAAAGAAAATCACAGTATGACACTTGGGATGATAAAGATCAATGAGAGAGGAAGGCATCTCTTTCATAGTATTGAAGAATTTGAGTTAATGTGAGTATATAGACATCAAAGGCATGTGTAAGCTTGTGTAAAGGGCCACTCTTTCAAAAATCAAAACAATACTATAAAATGGAAAATACAAATTGCAATTAAATTGGGCATGTGGACAATGCTATATTGATGTATACTACTAACTAGTCCACCAAATAGTAACATGCCCTACATGTTTAGTCATACTTGGCTATGCTTCTTAAATCATTCTAACTCAACCAATTCTTCAGCCACCAGCTCATATTTAGTGCGACCATTCATGTAAATATACTCTATAATGAAATTTTACTGTAATAGTTTCGGACAAATAATACTGCTATAAAAAAATTTGACGGTATTTTATTCCTCGTAGTATATGCAAACAAATTACAACTATTATGAAAGTCAGTATACTCCTCCTTCCTATCTAAGTTCAATGATTGGGGCCAGTCGCCAGATAAGCATTTCCTAATTCTAGACCTGTCCACTACAGCTAATTATTTGTAAAATATATAATTAAAAGAAGAAGCACACTATATAAGTTGTAAAGTCTCAATTGTTCGATTTTCACAACTTTATTTATTTATTACTACTTTATGAATAAAGACTCACATAGTTTCTTTAATACGACTAAATTTCTTTAATACAAACTTATGGAACATGTATGACGTATGTTAGCAATTAATAAGATCAATAAAAAAATTCTAATTGTGCTCTATTTATTTAGGGTAGGAAGTAAAGAAATGGTAGGTTTTTAATTATATTGCCAAAAATATTTTAGGCAAAATGTTGGGACAGTGGCGTAGAATGTGAAGTTGGACATGTAAATTCATTTTTTTCTTTTGAAGGTTAATAGTATTAAACATATAGATTTTCCTTTCTTGAGCCAAAGGTAAATGAAAAACCGTCTCTAAGGTCGTAGTACACCTGCCCTTCCCAAACTCCACATAGATTTTACTTTCTTGAGCTCAGGGTCTATGAGAAATGGTCTCTCGATAAGATTGCACATTCACTCTCTCCAGACCCCACATAGATAAATCTAGATAATTGATTAAAAAATGGCACTTGCACATTCAATTTTCCTATAGGACAACGACCTAGCTAATATTCACGGGGAGAACTAGAAATGTGCTACCTAAAAAATTAGCATTTCAATTACTTGATGATGATTTCATAACTACTACTACTAATGATTTTACATAATTTATTCGATTTTTCTGATTTCTTTTCTTTTCTTTTCAACAAAAGCACCAAACAATCTAATCACATAACAGTGACAACCCATCCAACCACCTAAAATTTTCAACGAAATTAACGCAGTACCACAGCTTGTATTTTAGGATACATTTCAACTAAACCGTAAAACTATAATGTGCTAGCTGGCCTTTCTTTTAAGCGACCACCTTTTTCTATATGAAATTGACATGTATGAAAGCTATAGAAGCAGCTAACCTAGAGGCCCTTATGATATACACAACCTGCTAAACAGTAGCCGAGCGACAAGCTCGTAAACATTCCAATTCAGTGGTGTTCTTACACACTTCTTGCCTGCTATAGCTATTTACATTACCTTCAGATTAACTTGTAAAATTCTTACCTTTGTACCTGCCAATGAATAATTTTTTAGCTTGCTTCATGGTTTTCTGATTGGGAAGATACAAAAGCTAGTTCTCATCCTAACCACTCAAGAAGTAGAATCAAAACACAAATTAGCTATACACAGTCTTTTCCCTAGAAACCTTTAAACCTTCCCAGTAAATCACAGATGTTTAGTCCTACGCTGCAGCATAGCCAATAGAAACAACATTATGCCTCTGTCCCAAGTTAATTGGGGTCAGCTATATTAATCTTCACCATCCAACCATAAACATATAGCCTAGCAGACAAAGGAATATGTCTAAAACTACTGACAAGGAAGCTGCAGGCCAGCTTTTTGAAGAAGAAACACAGGAAACGAGAGCATGGGTCTTGTCTGAGTTGGTATGCTAAAATAAGACCGAAGATTCTAATTCCTAAAGCAACATCACATGAAAATAATCCAACAAACCCAGATCCTCGTTTCCATTTCGCATATTGCAGAGCCTTTCACACCGCAACACCAAAAAACATGGAACTTCAGGAACTATAAAAAAGCAAGTCACTTTTTTACATTTCAGAACGATTGTGCTGTTGCAGGTGCACATACATTAAGCATCTAAGTTCAAAATCATATATATACATATACATAATAATATACCTTTTTCATTTTGAGAGGAACAGACCAATTAATAAACACAAATTGTTCCTCCACCAATACTTGATATATGTCCCTTCAATTTTGTTCCTGCAGCATCTCTCCAAGTAGTTCCGCGCCTCTTTTGTTAATGTCACCACCTCTTAACAGTGTTGTAAGGAATCTCGCAGGATGGTACAGGCTACTAGGCATATCCTACAGAAATTAAAACGCAAAGGTCAGACGATGTTGTGTAACATGTAGAGATTGCTGGTCATAAGTGATAACAAAAAGAAACAACACTTAATGTGCTTACCTACAACAACATACCCAATGTAATCCCACAAGTAGGGTCTAGGGAGGGTGGTGAGTATGCAGCCTTACCCCACCTTTGTGAAGGTAGAGAGGTTGCTTACAATAGACCCTCGGCTCATGCAACTACATTCATCTTATGATGAAGTAACATCATTAAAAAGACATCAAGGACATGCAAATAGAGGTTCGAATGATGATGATACATTAGCTCTGCATCATATAACTTCATTCATGCCATGTTATAGGACACTATTGGTGCAATACAATACAAGTGAACCAGAACTATATGATGCAACTAACTTGACCAGACACTGAGCAGTTATGAGCAGAAATAGAATTACAGGCAACAGAGTTTGATTGCAAATCAACAGGAGTACTGGAACCTGGAAAAGAAACTTTACTTTTTCTGAAACATAAATCTAAGGTTCAAATAGTCAACAATTTGCCACCTAACAGAACCTTTATCTCCCGTTACTTCCATCTTTACCATTTAATTCGATAGACCTTTTTCCGCAGCAGATTACAACAGCATCTAGTTTACTTTTAGTCATTGTTCAGTGGATAGTTGTACTCCAGACGCACACAAAGATACAAAATCATGTCCCCAGATGACTGCATTAACATCAATGACACCACCATCCATAAATAATAAACCTGAGCCTCTAGTTGTACCTTCTAGCTCGTCAATTTTTAGGTGCATCAAATCTATCATATATCTGTCTGACTATACTACTCTATTCACGTTTACTTATCCACTTTGAACTTGGCATGCTCCTGAACAAACGATGATTGACATGAGTATTTTACCACAATACCCATATTAATTGATGTTTATCTTAGGTCTTGAAATGAATTGGATAATAAGTAATTAATGTTATGGGCAAAACATTAAAAAAAATGCTTATCTTGATATGCTATAAGTGAAAACTAAAATTGATATATTTGATGGTGGACAAATAAAAATGACCGGAAGTTGTATTATATTGTATATTATATATTATTATAATCAAGTTTAGGGTTTTCACTTCCAGGTCCTAACTCGCCAAAGCTACCGCCTATCGATTGAAATTTCCCTCCTCAGCCAGAGGCAGAACCGGCTCCCCCCCGAACCATCCTCGGAAGAGTAATGAAAGAGAAGGAAACAGGAGTTTCTCGCCTCCCAAGAGTTTAAAGAGGTGGAGTGTCACGCCAACAACCTAGAGGCGAACAACTACATGAAGGTTCGTCGAATCATCCATGGCAGCCAGGCAAGCTCCCCGTCGAGCAGCCGGTTCGCAATCAAGCTTTATTCCCTTTTCAAGTTGGAAAAAAAGAAGTAAGACCCCTGTGAAGCTTTACTTTTTTGTTATCGGTTAGAGCTCCTAGCCTTTTTGATTCTGTTTTATCTCCACACCTCTATCAATTCATTCTTTACCACATATTCTTTCTTGTTCTTTGTCGCCTTTTGTAAGGAAAGTCCGTCCATAGAGTTCCATCCCGCTAGAAGTGATCCTATCTTGTTTGGGGATTTCTATATATTATAGACTAATCTAAAAGTGGGAATCTCCTAAGTCCGAAATTGAATTACCAAAATGTCCACCATAAGTTGAACGACCATTTTAAC